CACACCATACACAAAAATCAACTCAAAATGGATTAAAGAACTAGACATAAGACCTGAAACCATAAAATACATAGAAGGAAATATAGGCGAAACACTACGGGATTTGCACATCAAAGACATCTTTACAGACACATCACCCAAAGCAGTGATAGTGAAGACAAAGATAAACAGCTGGGACTACATCAAATTAAAGAGCTTCTGCACAGCAAAGAGACAATAACAAAAACAAAGAGAAACCCCACCAACTGGGAGAACATTTTTGCACCCAACACTAATGATAAAGGACTGATCACAAAAATTTGCAAAGAGCTGATGAGACTCAGCAACAACAAAGGAAATAATCCAGTCAAAAAATGGGCAGAAGAGCTAAAAAGAAACTTCTCTGAAGAGGAAATGCAAATGGCCAACAGACATATGAAAAAATGTTCAACATCACTTGTAATCAGGGAAATGCAAATCAAAACTACCATGAGATACCATCTCACACCAGTGAGAATGACACATATTAAAAAAACTAGCAACAACAAATGTTGGTGAGGGTGTGGAGAAAAAGGAACTCTTCTGCACTGTTGGTGGGAGTGCAAACTGGTCCAATCACTATGGAGAGCTGTGTGGAGATTTCTGGACCTACTAAACATAGAGCTTCCATATGATCCAGCAATTCCACTCCTAGGTATTTACCCAAAGGACACAGAAACATCAATTCCAAAGAGCACCTGCACTCCTATGTTTATAGCAGCACTGTTTACAATAGCTAAGCTTTGGAAACAGCCCAAATGCCCAAAAGTAGATGACTGGATCAAGAAGATGTGGTACATATATACCATGGAATATTACTCAGCATTCAAAAAAGATAAACACATGCAATTTGCAGCAACATGGATGGCGCTGGAAGGGATCATGCTCAGCGAAATAAGCCAAAAAGAAAAAGAAAAATACCGGATGGTCTCACTCATAGCAGGAATCTAGAAAACTTAAATAAGGGACCAGGAAAATGAATATAAGAAAGTGAAAATCAGAATCAAGAAAAAACTATGAACCAGAGACACTTTTTTGGGGGTGGGGGGCGGGAGGGGAAGGATTGGGGTCAGAATGGGGCGTTTGCAATTGTATGGGGGAATATAAAAATAAAATTTAAGATTAAAAAAAAATAATAAAAAAAATAAAAAAAAAAAAAGCACACACATTTTCAAGAGCTCCTCTTGTCAATCTTTAACAATAGACCCTGAATAATTTGACTTTAAGGTGCCTTATGTTCAATGCACTACATCTTATTTAATATTTACAATGATGCAGCAGGGTCAAATTTACAATTGCCACAATGAATAAACCAAGGTTGAAATTGGTTAAAATAACTTTTTAAAAAAGATTTATTTATTTATACGTACAAGAAATGGGGTACAGGCCAGAGGTGTGTGTGTGGGGGGGTGAGAGAATTCACCAGAGACAGAGTGGGGAACAGAACAGGTGGATCAACTGAAATACACTGCAGAGTGGAGTAGCTCCCTGGCCAGGAATCGAACTCTGTGCTGCAGTGGCTGCGGGAATCTTCGTAGGTTGCATTTTAACACCTTGTGCCACCAGGGAGGCCCTGAAATTGTTTAAAATAACTTGATCAGTGGGATATAGCCTTTCAAAGGTGGAGGCAGGTGTTGAATTCTGGTATATCTGACTCCAAAGTCCATTCAGCATTTTTTGTGCCAGCAAGCAGAGGGCAGGTTCTCTGTCCATTCAGGCAGCTGGGTAAAGGAGCTCTCAGTGACTTTTTCAGGCTTTAATGCACCTTCTATGCCACATTTAGTGAAGCAACCAGGCACAGGGCAGACAGGGAGGCCAGGGGTCCAGGAGGCTGCAGACTTCCCAGCCCCAGATAAATATTGACCGTTTCTCTTTGGGCTCTCGAGTCTTTTTGTGGTTTCTTCCTCTTACAGTGATTCCCCGCCCCTATCATTCTCCATGTGACACGACCCTTATAATCCCAACCTCCAGGCTCAGGTGTGCCTACTCATGCATGCTCACCCCATGTTTCAGGTGTGCATCATCAGGCAGTGTGCCCTGAGCCCACGCTCCTGCATTCAAGGCTACAGGGGATCATCACTTACCCTACAGCATTTTACTTTCTTTTAAAGAAGATATAAAATTGGAGATGACTTTAAATTTAACATGAGAATGATGAGTCATTGCCAAGGAGAGGTAAACTGAGAGACATGGCTTGAGGCAACGAAAAAGGGAGATGATAAATTTAGTTTAGAATTTGATGAATGTGAGATGTAAACATCCAAATAAACATCCAAATGTGTAAACATCCGAATAAAAAGCTACTCTGGGATATTAATTCCACACTCTAATTTTCAAATAACAGCTTTCAAGACAATGGTAATATTCTTTGACAGTTACCATCAAGAGATGCTGTATAATCTTGTATTATGATCCTAAGGGGAGATGTAAGTATCAGGGAGACTTCTCTCTTCTTGTCAGACAGACTTAATTTGCAATTAACCACAAGGAGTTTCTGCCACTCCTTACTTCTTTACTTTTTACCTGGCAGCTCTTTCTACACTTGCATCTTTCTGCATTTGATGTAGTTATTACTCAGCTAAGTTTCACAGGTTTTAAAAGTTTTATTCAAATCCAAGAGTGATGTAGAACTGATTAGATGGGATATTTCTCAACTGACATGAACCAAAGGAGGCAGAAAAGAAATTCAGTTCAACTGTTACTATAAGAAAATAAGCCAGCTGGGAGGTTCTTAGATTAAATCTAATTCAATATTATTTAGGGGAAAAAATCCACGAGGACGTAACTCATCAGCAAGGCTCAGACTAAAATACCTTGTGATGTGAAATGAGTTCAAGGTACATTACCACTTTGAAAAGAAAGAATTGCTGCCAAGGTTCATGCATAATAACTCTGAGCAGGTTAGTTTTATACAGATGTGGAAAGCCTCTTCTACTTCTCACCTTTAGTATGGCTCAATCAAGACAGGATTTATGAAAATTCTTTTTCATAAAGTGGGAAGAGTTCTTTATGGGAGGATAAGGCTCATTATTTTGAAAGAAAAAGACTCATCTTGGAAAAATGAAACTTGTGAAGCCAACTCTGGAGCTAGGAAGACAAGTAAAAAATCAGTTTACCCACCTGTCTGTAAACTATGAAATGAAAAATCTTATTGATATGGTTAAAAGAGAAGCATCATGGGATTCAGTGTTAGAAAAATCTGACTTCAACCCTTTGCCACTTAGGAGCTGTGTGACTGTAGGGTAAATGGTTTTCAGGCTTTTCTGCCCTCCCAGCATTAGGGTTGCCCTGCCAGATGGGGCACCTGCAGTTGTTACCTTGTTGTAAACTGTAGTGTTTACTTCTGTGGGCCATGACTGCAGTATTGAGATATTAGGCAAGAAAAGCAGAAGCAAAAGAGAACAGGAGAAAGAAGGCCAGAGAAGCCCAGAGTGAAGACTTGCTGGCAGAGTGGAGGCTTACTGGCCTCCTGGCCCCTGGCACCCCTGCCTGCCATGTACCTGGTTGCTGCACAACATGTAAAAGTTCAATAAAAGCCTGAGAAAGCCACCGAGGGCTCCAGAACTCTCTTTTACCTAGTCTGCAGGATCATAGATATCCTGCACTACAGAGACTGAGTAGGTTCCCCGAATTCCATGAGTGAAAGTGTTCTCATCTGCGAAAAGTGGGTACAGCTACTTTCTTTTTGAGATTATGTGAGAATTTGAAATAAGTATTGTAGAATGTTTGGGCCATGCTAGGTCTGTTTGAATCTATGCTTCAGCAAAATCCGATTAAGTTTGAGACAACTTTCGCCTTTCTAAGTTCATGCTTTTTCCAAGTATCAAAACAATTTGCTGCCGCTGCTGACCTTTGGGCCAGTCTATGGACTCAAGGATCGGTCAACTCTTTTTAGGTTTCCCAAAGACCTTGATCTCTTCCTTTCTTATTACTTCATATGTGGAGGATTGCCCCCATCAGGCAGGGCAATCCTAATGGTGGGAGGGCAGAAAAGCCTGAAAACCATTTACCCTACAGTCGTACAGCTCCTAAGTGGCAAAGGGTTGAAGTCAGATTTTGCTAGGAGAATAGCTTGAAGATTAGATGGGTTGGGTTCAAGTTGTCTGCTAATCTAACGGGATTTTAAGGGGAGGAACCAAAGACAAATAAGGAAAGAGTTAACCAAAAGTTGGAGATATTGAGATGAAGTTCAGATTTGCATCTCAAAGTGGGACTGCCTCAGTGACTCCCAGAAACACTTGTGGATATTTGAAAATTGACAAGTGTATATGAGTCAGGAGTTCTTTCCAAGTCTTTTCCAGTAGAACTGGAGTTTGGGTAAGATACTGATATGAACCTGTATTTTTAAAGAAACTTCTCTCCATTTGTCTTGTGAGAAGTATGTTTACTTCACTACTCTTTTCCAATAACATTTTAACTTTTTGTTGATTCTTTATAGGTGTTTTGCTTTTTAAGAATTTTGAGATAAATTTAGACTTATAGACAAGTTGCAAAAATAGAACACCTTAAGCAACAAGTAACAATACTTCTAAATACAGACCAGAAGTGTTTATTTATGTCAATATGAGCTCATTGATATGTATTTTATTTTTAGTCTGTAATCCAAAATTTACTTATTTGTTGCTTAAGTTGCTTCAGTATTGACTATTTGAAACTCTTCCAGGTTTTGCTATATCTCCCTGCCTCCCTCCTTGTCTCCCTTTCTTCTTTCCTTTCTCACATTCTCCCTCCCTACCTTTGATTTTATTACCTTTCCTTCCTCTACTTTTTCCTCTCTCTTTCTTACTTTCTGTAACCACAAAATGCTCCAGGCTCACCATATGGTTTCCCAACCTCAACCAAGGAGTCTACCAAATTGTCCAAGAATCTCTGGTTTCTTTCTCTTTTTTTTTTTTTTTTCCAAATAGCCAGACACATAAAAGGTTTTATTAAACCTCTCATGAAAAATCTGCACAATCACCACAGATACAGATAAAGTCACTGCAGAATATTTACTTCTGTTGTCCAATCTCCAGCTCACTTTTTGCCAGCACCAACATTGGCCTTTGCAGTCCCCCTGACTTTCTTCATTCTATGCTTGCGTTCCTTTAGCTGTTTTCTTGAAGACTTTTTCTTCTCATAAAGGCTATGTCTTGCAAGTCTATGTTTGGGTTCATTTTTCTTTGCATAATCCAAGGACTCATAAATCATGACAAAGCCAGTTGTTTTGCCACGTGCAAAATGGGTTCTGAATCCAAATACAAAGATGACATCAGGGGTGGTCTTGTACATTTTTGCTAGTTTTTCCCGAATTTCTGTCTTAGGTACTGTTGCCTTTCCGGGGCGAAGGACGTCAATGACCTTTTGTTTCCGCTGAAGCAGTCGGTTGGTCATGAATTTCCTATTCCGGATAGTTACCGTGTCATTCATGATGGCGGTGGATATTTAGGCAGCCAGAGAGGATTTTTTTTTCTTAAGATTTATTTATTTATACACGAATTGGGGTACAGGCCAGATTCACGGGAGGGTGAGAGGATTCACCAGAGACAGAACCCGGAATAGAACAGGCAGACTGACTGAAATACACTGCTGAGGGGAGCAGCGGGCATGACAGGAGAGGTCTGCCTAGCCATGTTGCACCCTCGCTGGCCAGCGGGGATCGAACCAGTGCTGCAGAGGCTGTGGACAGCTTCGCAGTGCGGCGCTCAGCCGCTTGCGCCACCAGGGCAGGCCTGAGGAAGGTTTCTTTTATTGAAGAATAGTATTAGGAACCAAGATTTGGGCAAGTGTGCTCATTACTATTGGAGATATAGACATGTGTATGAACTTACATGCACATCTATATTTATGGTTGTATCAATTTTCTCCTTGATCTCTGAAGATAATAATTTATGACTCCATATTGATATTTCAGATTCCAATTTAGTACCACAGGATTCATCCTAGCCTTCCCCCTTCCTTGCAGGTCGCTTCTTCCTTTTTTTCAATTTTTTTTTTGAGGAACCGTTGGCTCCTCAAATGTAAACCATTGGTTTACATCATTGCCAGTATTTTGAAAGCACATGATCTCCTCCTTCAGTGGTAGTAGTCACCTTATCACACCACCACTCAAATACCCATATGTCTCCACCATAGTTATTGTGCTTTCTCCTCACCCTGTTATCATTCTTCCCTCTCTCCCTCCCTCTTTCACCGCCTCAGTTCTCTGGTTAGCTGTCAAGGATTGGTTTTTAAGTTTGTTGTTGCATGATCCTTGTTTGGTTTGCTATATTCCACATATAAGTTACACCAGCCAGTATTTATCTTTCTCCTTCTGGATATCTCACTTAGTATAATTCTTTCCAGCTCCATTCATGTTGCTGCAAATGGCATGAGTTTATCTTTTTTGATCCTTGAGTAGTGTTCCATTGTGTGTGTGTGTGTGTATCACATTTTCTTTAATTCATTCATCTGTTTTTGATGGTTATCCTCAGCTCCAATGTATTTAATTATCTGTTTAAACTTAGTAGACAAATAAAGATGTTTAAATTGCTAACCTGGGCCTTCCTGGTGGTGCAAGGAGCTAAGCACAGCACTGTGAAGCTGTCCACATCCACTGCAGCATGAGTTCCATCCCTGGCCAGCCAGGGAGCTACCCACATGGCACATCAGAGGTCTCCTGTCTCACCCGCTGCTCCCCTCAGCAGTGTATTTCAGTCAGTCTGCCTGTTCTGTTCCCCACTCTGTCTGTAGTGGATCCTTTTACCCCTGCACCTCTGGCCTGCACCCCAGTTCTCGTATGCATAAATAAATAAATCTTTTTAAAAAATAAAATAAAATAAAATAAAAATTCCTAACCTATATATACCAAGTGAGAATAAAATTTACCAATTAGACTGCAGTGTGTTTGTACAGTATTCAAACAAAATATTCCTTTTTAAAAGTTATTTAGGTTAACGCTTTCCTGTCCTATCCCCCTTAGTGTGAGTGTGTGATTTAATTGTAACATAGTTATAATTTGTAATGTTGGTCACAGCCTGTATTCCATATATATTGGCATTCTTGTTGAATTTTCTATTAATATATAGTAATAGTTGATTATTTTTGTGGTGGATATGCTGAGAGGTTTAACAAACTTAATATAGTGATACAACTACTACTGCAGTTTCATGTCACCTTCCTCCCCTGTTCTCCTGTGCTGCTCCTTTAAAGGCAAACTTCTGTCCATCCCATGACTTCTGGTATACTTTGCTTATTTTCTCCCTACTACTTTTGGTTTTGCAAAATGTCACTGTAGATGGAAACTTAGAGCATGAAGATTCAGGTCTAATCTTTTTCATTTAGCAAAATTTCAGTTTTCTTCCACATTATTGCATGAATCTATAATTCATGCCTTTTTACTGCTGTGTAGTACTTCATTGTATGGATATACTTCATTTTACTTTACTAGTGATCAGTTAAATAATATTTAATTGTTTCTATTTTGACTACTATAGAAAATGACTATAAATATTCATGTATATGTTTTTGTGTTAGTCATATGGTAGGTACATGTTTAACTACATAAGAAACTGTAGATTTCCAAAATGGTTGTATTGTCATACGTTGTCACCAGCTGTGTATATGTGTTCCAATTTCTCCACATCCATGTGATTATGTGATGCTTCCAGGTTTTAAAAAATGTTAGATCATTTTAGGCATGCAGTGGTACCTTATTTTTATTTTAACAAATATTTTTCTAATAGTTTACAATGTTTAGTATCTTTTTGCATGCTTATTTTATCTCCATACATCTTCTTGATAAAGTGTCTGCTTAGATATTCTCCCTCTCTTTCTTTGAGTCATTTGCATTCTTACTGTTAAGTTTTGAGAATTCCTTATATATTCTGGATATAAACTCTTTGTCATAAAAATATTTGTGGTTACCAATATTTTCTCTAAGACTGTGGTTTGTATTTTCATTTTCTTCTTTTTTTCCTTAAAGATTTTATTTATTTATTTATTTATTTATACAAGCACTGGTACAGTCAGAAGTGCGGGAGGGTGAGAGAATTCACCAGAGCCAGAGAGAAGAGCAGAACAGGCAGGCTGACTCAGTACACTGCTGAGGGCAGCAGTGGGCGGCAGGAGAGGTCTGTGCAACATTTGGGACCCTCGCCACCGGCGGGGGATTGAACCGGTGCTGCAGAGGCTGCAGGCAGCTTCGCAGCCCAGCACTCAGCCGCTGTGCCACTGGGGAGGCCCTGTGTTTTCATTTTCTTAATAGTGTCTTTTGCAGAAAAAAAGTTTTTAATTTAACAAACCCTAATTTTTTTTCCCTTTTATTACGCTTTCACTTTCACTGTCATTCTAAAATCCTCTATATAGCCCCAGATCACAGATTTTCTCCTATAATTTCTTCCTGAAGTTTTATAAATTTACATTTTACATTTAGTTCTATGATCCTTTTTGAGTCACATTTTGTATAAAATGTGAGGTATAGCATGGGATTTTTTTTTTCTTTTGCATATTGATGTTCAAATGTTCTATAACCATTTTTAAAACAGATTTTCCTGTTTGTCAAATTGCCTTTCCATCATTGTAAAAAATCTTCTGACACTATTTGTGTGAACTTTCATTTTGTTTCATTGATATATGTGTCTATTATTTCATCAATACCACACTGTCTTGAGTAATAAATCTTGAATATGAGTAATGTGAGTCTTCCAATCTTTTCCCTCTTTTTCAAATTTGTCTTACATATTCTAGTTCATTTGTCTTTTCATATGCATTTTAGAATCAGCTTTTCAATATCTATGGAAAAGCATGTTGTGATTTTGATTGGAATTACATTGCATTTATAGAAAAAATTGAAAATAATTAACATTTTGATGGCTATTTTCATGTGTCAACTTTCTTATCAACATCAGTTTTTCAACCAAACACCAATTTCTTTGTTATTTGAAAGTATCTTGCAGATGTAATTGAAGCCAGTCTCTAATCAGTTAATTTTTATAAATGAACATTATCATGGAACATCTGTGTGGGTAGGATTCAATAAATTGAAAGACCTAAATAATAGGGCTGAGCCTTCTTCAAAAGAAAGACTAAATTATGCCTTTGGGCTGCAGTTTTGGTAGGATGTCTGTGGAGTTCCCTCCTGCTTCTGATTTCCCTTTCCTGCCTATCTGTGGATAACAATTTGGGCCCATGCCTGCGAAAGTCAGCTTGCCAGTCATCCTGCTGTCTTAGGAAGATCCTATGGATTTTAGATGTGCTGAGCTAAGCCCCCAATTGCATATCATGAGGGATACCGGGCTCCAGTTTTCTTATAAAGTCTTTCTCTAGTTTTGGTATTAGAGTAATGCTGACCTTATAAAAAATGTTGATGTCTTCTCTTCTATGCAATATTTTTTTCTTCACTAAATATCTGGTAGAAATCAGCAATGAAATTAACTGGGAGTGAAGTTTTTGTTTATGGTTTTTTTTTTTTTTCCCTTCATTAAATATCTGGTAGAAATCAGCAATGAAAATATTTGGGAGTGAATTTTCAAAACAGACACTTAATTACCTTAATAGAAAGGGGCCACTGAAGTTACCCTTTTCTTTTGGTAATTTGTATTTTTTGTGGTCTGGTTCATTTTGTATAAGAGACCAAATTTATATATATATATATGAAGTTTTCTAATAGTAATATTTTAAATTCTCTATAGTTGTACTGATACAGTCAATTGTTTTACTCTTTTCTTCCCCATGTGGTGATTTGTATTCTCTATCTTTTCTTTCCTTTGTCAAAAGGGGCAGAGAATTTTGATTTTCTTCATGCTTTCAAAATTTTAACTTTAGTTTTATAGTTTTTAATTTACTAACATTTGTTTTTAGTTTTATTGTTTTGTATATTTCTCTTAATTTCCTGACTTCTTGTTTGGGTTTAGTTTTAGTTTTTTTTAAAGGTTTATTTATTTATGCATACAAGAACTGGGCTACAGGCCAGAGGTGTGTGTGTGGGGGTGAGAGGATTCACCAGAAACAGAGTGGGGAACAGAGCGGGCAGATTGGCTGAAACACACTGTTAAGGGGAGCAGTGAATGAGACAGGAGAAGTCTCCTGTACCATGTGGGTAGCTTCCTGGCTGGCCAGGGATTGAACTCCTGCTGCAGAGGCTGCAGACAGCTTCACAGTGCTGTGCTTAACTAACCCCTTGTGCCACCAGGGATGCCCTTGCTTGGGTTTAGTTTGCTTTTCTAATTTTGTAAGGTGAAAGCTTACATTATTGATATGTTATGTTTTTCTTTTCTAACAAATATTTTAATGTTATAAATTCCTCTTTTAGCACTGTTTTACGCACACACCACACATTTAGATATGTTTGAATTTAATTTGAAGAATTTTCAATTTTTTTTTTGAGATTTCCTCTTTGATTCATGGGTTATTGAGAACTAAGTTTTTAATATCCAACTATTTTGAGATTT